TAAAAAATGAAAAATTTGGCCTTGGATAAAAAGCACTGATTGAACAACAAAATGAAAGAATTTGACTCAATACGTCAGTGTTGTGGATCAAAAATATGTTGTACGAAGAGTGGAATAGTTGATAATTGATTCATAAATGTGTCATCAGAACAGTTGAGAGAATAAGAGAATTGGAAACCAGAACTTTATTGTTTGCCAGTTGGAAGTCCTAAATGGAACAGGTTCATTAAATTGAAAATGTGATTCAGAAACCGATTGGTACCTGTGATGGTGTCATTACAAAAAACAGTGAAGCTGAAATTATGCTAGGTCACTGAAGGATGTTTTATGATTTTGGTTCTAAACCTGCTTTGACCAGGCTTTGTATAACCATTGTAAAGACACGTAAGCTTTAGGCCATTTACTGAGACTAACAGAGGGAGGCTCTGGGTGAAATGGTCCACAGCACCGTGATGTGATAATAWTAAATGTCCTAAAATAAATGTTCAAGTCTGAGAGCTGAATCAGTTTCCTGCACATAACTCTGGTTTCCAACATGAACATGTTTCTAACAGTCCCTTTTTGAGAGTCAAAAATAAAATGCTGTCAAAATAGTCATTGTTTTGTTGACTTTACTGGAATCAGTCACACAATCAGTGGTTAATTAATGGTTAATTCTGAATTAGTGATATGCTACGTGCAGTATATTGCTAATGTGTTAGGTTAAGGTGTAGGAGAAACACACTACATCCTATGCCGACTTGGTGTGATGTTTATGATGGTGTCAGCTCTACAGATGATGTGGTGTTCTCAGCCACCTTGTTTTTTTGTTTCATGATCTGTTGCTCTACTTATTTCTCAGGCTATTTATTAGTCTTCTGTTTTAAAGGGATCCCTTATTAGTTGTAACATTAGACTTTATTTCATAAACTTATATTTTAACTGTAAAATAAAGATTGTAAAAATACTGCAGGATGTTTAGTTTTGTAAATTTTTAAATATATATTTAACACGGACAGAGCCATTATATTTACACACAAAGCATTCTGGGTAAATGATGGTGTGGATAGGTCCTCAGTGTGAGAGAGCTATATCCACCAACAGAGCTGCTTCATGGAAGAAGAACTTCAGCTTAGCATGTTAGTCTTTGCACCGGTGTCGACACTATATTGCCTTATATGTATTAGCTCAGCGCTAGCACGACAAGCAAGCTAAACTGAGGTCCGTCCATATTTTCAGTTGCAGGCTGTCATTTTTGTGTTCCCCTCTCTGTCATGTGGATGGAGGACCTCAGTGACGAGGAGAATGTGTAGCGCTGAGCTAATACATATATATGGTGATAGCGTCGGGGCTAAYRYTAAAGCTAACAGGTTAAGCTGAGGTTCTTCTTCCATGAAGCAGCTCTGTTGTCCTCCATCTATATTTTCAGTTACAGGCTGAGTCATTTCTACCCTCTCCTCTCTGTCAACRCTCTCTGGTTTCATTTAAAAGAGCCAATTGTCAGATATTGTCCAAGATTAACCTTCAGGGTGGATATAGCTCGCTAGCAGCGTCGCACCGAGGACCTATCCATGTCATCATTTACCCAGAATGCTTTGCGTGTAAATGAAATGGCTCCGTCCGTGTAATATATTTTTTAACTTTTAGTTTAAAATGCTAAAAACTGAACATCCTAAAGTATTTTTACGGTCTTTATTTTACAGTTGAAATATATGTTTATTTAATAAAGTCTAATGTTACAACTAATCATGGATCCCTCCAAACCAAAGCCACAACAGGAAACTCCACATCAGTTTTCTTCAGGTCCGTTTTTGTAAAATGAATGATAAACAGAAAATGTTTATTTTATATGCACATCATGTGAGTAGATGTCATGCAATCAATAGAGGTTGTTTGTGCTGTTAGGGTGCCACATACACAAACAACACAATATGTACACAGAAACAATAGTCCTTCATTAATTGTTTTTAGGCCAAGAATCATTGTAATTGTTATAAAAAAAACCTGTTCTTTTTTTTCCTTTGGTCAAAGATGCAATACCATTTTATGAATGCAAAGTAGATGTTTTTTTATTCTAGAGGTTGACACCTTATTACTGTTTTGCAAACTGCCTTCTTTGTTGCATATTACAAAAACTAACGAGACAGTTTTGTCCTTGACTTGCTTGTTAGGATGCAGTCGGAGCAAAAAYGTATGAATTCAAAGATAAATTTCTTCTTCCAGATTTATCTTGTTTGCAAACAGCACTTCTGTAAACATTTTCATTGTCTGCTAGAAAATACTTTATCCCAGGAATCTTTTTTTGTGCATATTCAATGCGATTATTGTCAATAAAATCAGACCTTGTCATTATGTTATTATTTACTTTGAAAGTTGTTTTCTGATGTTGCAAAAATGAGAAAAAAAAATTCTTTTTTTGGTGGGGGAACTAAAACCAATCATGGCCTTGAAAAATATTTTTTTTTCTTCCAACAGTTTTTGAAAGCATTTTTTTCATTTACTTTCCTTTTATTTTCCATCTCAGTTAGGTTTAGGCAAACAATGAGGTTAGATTAAGAGCTGCGTGGACACCTTTATCTGTAAGTCTTTATTTTTTATATTTTATTTTTTCCTATCGCAGGGAATTGATAGGACAACTGTCCAACAATGAACATCTTTGTGCAGTCAACCTGCACTGTATGTGTTCATCTGAACAAATGACATTTTTTATGTCTTTATTATTTATTTTTTGGTGCTTTTTCATGATTTACCTTGAGATTTTGCTTTGTACATGAAAAAAAAACTTGTCCTCTGAGGTGCCTGCAGTATCCATTCACTGCTTCCCTCGCGCCGCTGTGAACAAAAAGACCCATCAAGCGAAGTGGGTGTATCGCAGGGGGAGAAGATACTAGGGAGTGGAGGTCAGGGTATCTTGACGGGGGTGGAGCTCTGAGGAGATGTAAGTGGGGGCGGGTGCAGTGGAGGTGGTTAAATGGTGGGGAGGAGGGTGAGTAAGGGGGACGTGGGGCCACATCACCTCGGGCGTCTCTTGACCGGGTGTGATTGATGGGGAAGAGCTGAAGCTCCCAGTGTCATTCACCAATTAAATAACTCTCACTGCTGAACTGCTGCGGGACCCTCCCTCACCTCCTCTACCTCCCGCCTCCTAGCWCCACCACCTCCTCTCCTCCCTTTCACCCCTCTCTGTCCACTCGCCCTCTCCCTCTTGCTCTGTCTTTGAGCATCCTTCAGGTGGAGCTTTGACCACATCCAACCTTTTATTTTTTTTATTTTTTAGCTTCATTTATTTATTTGCTTTGGTCAACCCTTTCTATTTTACATCACTTCTTCCGYATAGGCCTTACTTGTTTGTTTTGGCCTCGCTGTGTCTTGAAACCCATTGCCAACTGCTCTTCCAGGTATGACAGACAGAGGCTGCTCTTTCTATTAGTTTGGGTCACTGCACCCTTCCTGAAATGATGGAGTGGAGGAGACGAAGAGGATCTGCTATACCTGTCTCCAAAGCACATATGAGGGGGGAAACCCGCCCACAAAGGAAATATCCATGACTAATGACCCCCCAAGGTGAAATTTAACCTGAAAACAAGTGYTACATTTTTAAAAACAATATGTAGAAATGCACTAAAACAAACTCCAAAGACCCAAATTAAATGTTGTTTTTTAAGAGGTTATGAGTTAATAAACAGAGGCTGGTGAGTATTATATGTTTTCTGTCATTAATTAGGCCTAAAACTGATGCTGGTCGGTCTCAGAGGGGCTGTGAGCGTGGAGGTGCTGCTGTTTGGAGAGGCCAGCCTCTTGCTGTATTCTTCTGTCACCACAGGAGCTCACTTTGCCGCTAATTGGACACAAAATAAAAGTCTTCCGAGCACAAATGTGGAACCTCGCTGCTATGTTTTAAACACAGGGATGCTTTATTGTGAGTTTAGGTAGAGAAAACAGAAAAAAAAAGACAGAAAAAAGTTTACCAGATAAATTCTAACATACTTGGAGGATTTAATTAATTCTCGAGACAGTGAGACRCGTTATCCCTCTCATTGGTTAAAGATGAAGCATTTTATTGATTATTAATATTTTTTGTGCACTGATTTTACAGCACCGATTGCCTCCGTTTAACAGCACACATGCCATCTGCTGCCAAAAAACTTGGCAGGTTCGAGTTTTTTTTTTTTTTTTTTTTTTTACATTCCGTTGTGCCAAAAGCGCCGCGTGCGTTCCTGGCTTCACCTCCTTCCCTCGCCAACTTATTTTTGGTCAAACTCTTTCCGACTGAGGCTCCATCTTCCTCTGCAGTCGGAGAAGATTTGCTGCAGATGAGAGCGTCTCCCGACTCTGCTGCTGCGCGAAAAGACACCGATTTTCCAGGAGCCTGCAGCTGGGCTTCCCCGCGCAGACAGAGGCGGCACTGCGCAGGGGGGAGTGGAGGACAGGGAGGAAAAGAGAGAGAGAGAGAGAGAGAGAGAGAGAGAGAGAGAGAGAGAGAGAGAGAGAGAGAGAG